CGAATCTTTTCTTAAAATATTTAAAAATTCATCATCTCTCTTTCTCTCTCTCTCTCTCTCGGGGATGTTTGTACATGCTCCCGTATTACACATTCTCTCTCTCTCTCTCTTTCAATATATCCTTTGCCTTACCTTATAAAAAATTTACATAAACTTTGCGGTGTGTGTCTTTTATACCTATTTTGTTAAAGAAAACCCTAACTTAATTTATTAACCATGTTTTATTTATTTATTAGTTAAACTTGTTTGTTTACTGTTTGTTTGCGAATGTGCGTGTTTGGTTTTTTTTATTGACTGTTTTTTGTTTGCGTTTTGTTTGCGTTCGTGCGTGTAAAACAAAAAAAAAAAAAAAATAACTTTATTAACATTATTCCAACCGATTTTTTTTTATGTTTTCACGTCCCTTTTCCTTTTACTTTTCTTTTTTCTTTCGTTTTTCAAATTTATAATTTTTGTAAAGACATCATCGACGTGACAAGTTTTACCTTATTGATCAATCACGCATTAATTTATTTACTTATTATTATTATTATCGATTAAAAATTTCACTTTTAATAAAGTCAAAAAAAATTTTTAAATGACAATCAACGCTTTCCTTCTTTTTTTTTGTTATAGTTTATTAATTTGAAAGAAATAATAGAATCGGGTTTGTTTAAACTTTCTATTTATGCTAAACGGTATGATGACGTCATAAAACTCTTTAACTTTTTTAATAATTTTATTTATGTACATAAAGTTATGTTATGTATAAATAAGAAAATCATTTTTAACATTTTTTCCTTTTTTTTTTTAACCCAAATTTATTTTTTTTCGTACCCTATAATCTGTCATTTTTTTTTGACAAGTAAATTTGGCGGATGTTTTACGAAAATCGATTCGTATTACCTGATTTTTTTTTTTTTTAATGGTTGCGTCGATCTTTCATAATAATAATAATAATAATAACACGAGCAAAAAATTTATCGTTAACCGGAAAAATAAAAAAAATAAGGATCAATTAAAATTTTCAAAGGTATAATAATTTTTAAAAATTATTCATTTGTGATGATATAAAATAACTTTTGTAAATTTAACGACGATGATGATAAAATAATAATAATAATAATATTTTATAAAAAGAACAAAAGAAAATAATAATAATAATAATTTTTTTTCCACGAAATATACAATTTGTTATGAAAATAACAAATAAATGTATATAATGAATGATTGTTCAAAAACATTTTATTTCAATTTGCGTAAAATAATTTTGTTGTTGTTGTGTTACCACGTTTATTAAAAATTAATTATTTCACATTAAATGATGTCGATATATATTATTTTTAATTATTTTTTTTTTTAAACAGAAATGTGAAAATTCTTTTTAAAAAACGGTCATAAAGCGGTTTTCCTCTCCGTTCTTCCCTTTAAGAACACATAAAAACCTTGAAAGGTTTATTTTTAAATTTTAACATTAATTAGGCAATTTGTTTTATTTACGTGTTGTGATAATTGCCTATATGTTATTTCTCGGAAAAATTGGGGGGCAAAAGAAAAAAAAAATCGTTATTCGTTATTTTCTTTATTGCCAATTTAAATTCACAACGTATAAATATATATTTTAAAGTGCAAATTTTTTTTTAAAAATAAGAATCGCAAATGTGTTTTGTAAAATGCGAATAATATTAATAATAATAATAATAATAATAATAATAATAATAATAATAATAATAATAATAATAATAATAATAATAATAATAATAATGATAATGATAATAATGATCACGTAAATAAAACGTTAAAAAATTGTTATCATATTTATATGACGACGAGAAAAGAAAAAAAATCATGCATTTATATTATTATTATTTAATAAATTGTTATCGATAACGCGAGGATATGAATCGTTTATCATTATTATTATTATTTATTTATTTATTTATTTATTTACAATAACGTAAACGTTAAATTATAATAAATAAATTGAATATTGCAAAAAAATTGGGGATAAAAATCGCATGAAAGTCGTTATTAATTGTTTAAAATTGAATTTTTTCTTTATTATTATTATTATTATTATTATTATTATTAATAATATTAATAATACATTATTAAATTTTTTCTTTAAAGAAGAATACATATACTTGTTGGCTTTTAATCGTTTCTCATGATTAAATGGCTTCAAGCCAGAAAATCGAATATATATATATATATCGGTCTATATGCAAAGGAAAAAAATTTCACCCACGCTTCAAAGGGAGCGGGGGGAGGGGAAGAGGGCAACAGTTTTGATTTTGGGTTTTTTTTTTTTTTTTTTGATAGATTTTTTTATTTTTCGTAAGATTACAATGGGTCACAAAAGAATTTTTTTATGTTAAAAGATTTTTTTTTTTTTTGTAACTTTAAATACTGGGATCTATAAATAAACAGTTAAAATTATTATTAGAGAAATATAGGAATATGTGTGTTTAAAAAAAAAATAAATTTTAATTATATTAATAATTTTTATCGATTTTAAAATATTTTTAAATAAATAAAATTTATAAAAGGAATTAAAAACAACGACAACAACAAACAACAAACAAACAAAACAAAAAATAAAAAGAAAAATTTTATTTATCGACAACAACAACTGCCGCGTTTAATTAAAATTTTTAAAAAAACTTTTTTTTTTAAAATCTTTCAAACGATTTATAAAAAAAATTATTATTATTATTATTATTAATTCTTATTAAAAAAGTTTTGATTATGATGATGATGATAATCCTTATCAATTTTTTAAAATTATAATTTTGAAAAAAAAAAACAAAAACACGTGGTCAAAAAAATTTCATTCTTTAAAAGGTTTTAAGAATTTTTTTTTTTTTTAAATAATGTTGGCACACCTGTAAAAAAAAAACAGGGTTGTCGTTCGTGCTTATATGTGGTGCGTGTTTATACTTGTCGGAATAAAAAAAAAAAATTTTCCTTTTATTTAAACAAAAATAAAATCATCATAAGTTCCATTTCTACATTAAACACAAAACAACAAAAAAAATTTTTTTTTTTTTTTTCAAACTTATTGTCTGCAATATTTGTATTAGTTTTATTATTATTATCATCATTATTAACAACAACAACAACATCATCATCATCATCATCATTATTATTATTATTATTTCGTAAGTTTTTTTAGTTTTTCTTTTAAATATATAAAATTACAAGATTAACAACATTATTATTCTCTTGTTTGTCTATACATAAACAAAAAAATTTATTTTTTTCTCGTTTGTTTTCGTTTGTTTTTATTACGTTTGTTATTGTTTTTTAAAATTTTCAATCATTTTTTAAACAAACGATTCGGATTTTTTTTTATAAAGTTCACGGAATGTCATATCGGAAAGCAGGGGAGGGAACTGGGAAAAATATTTTTAGAAAATAATTAATTATAAAGTGTAAATAAAGTGAAAATGATAAAATATCAGTTAACGAACTTTTAATAATAATAATAATAATGGGGATGTTTTTGACTATCGTTTGATGACGTAACGGGGTAAGTATTAAATTAATAAATTTTATAATAAATTAAAATATTTATTAATATTATTATTTTTTATTTTTCATGTTCAAATTTTATTATGATGGAAAAAGTTCAAGTTACAGTAAGTGATATAATAGTTTATGAAAAACAAAAGAAAATGTCGAGACGAGGAAATAAATTAATAAAAAGGAAAAATGTTTAACGGAAACGGACCGGAAATGATGGATGAAAATCGTGCGAATCCTTGTAAGACGTGTTGTTACTTTGCTTGGAAATTAATAACCTGCATATTTTCCCACATCATTTTAGTATCGTTGGTCGTCGCTTATTGCATACTCGGTGCTTTTACTTTCGAATCACTCGAATCCGGACACGAAATACAAGTAATTGATAATAATAATGATAATAATATTAATAATAATTATGATTTTACGTTTGATATTTAATTAATTTGTTTTTGGTGTGTAAAAAAAGGTTAAAAGCGAAGTGTCGGCATTTCGAGCAGCCGTTTCCAACAGACTGTGGAACATGACGAAAAATGTCGAAGTATTACGACAGGAAAATTGGACGAAAGAAGTCAAAGAATATTTAAAAGAATTCGAAACGGATTTATTGACGGCGATGAAAAAAGAAGGTTGGGATGGTACGGAAGATGAAGAAGTCACACAATGGACATTTGCCGGAGCATTATTTTATTCCATAATTGTCATAACGACGATCGGTAAGTTTATTATTATTATTATTATTATTATTTTACAATCGGGAAGAGAGAGAG